TATTCCTAAAACTATTTATAATCCCTCCTTAAATACAAACTCATTTTATAATTACTATCCTAATATTGCTATTCTAACAACGTTATGCATAATGATCTATGCATAATGATAATAAAGTAATGATTTTATAAACAAATAATAAATAAATACTGTATGCAAGTTGTTGGACAAAAGGTCTGTCGATATCATGTGATCATGATCATGTGATCATGATCATGTGATCATGTGATCATTGTGTTGTACTCTGTTGAGCTAATAACTATGTTACACATCTTTCCTCCTTAAGATGTGAGGTTTTCTGAGCTAGTCAACTAATAACTTATTCTATTCTAAACTTCTATATATAAAAAAATAAACTAATTCTATTTAGAGATTTTAGGTTCCTTGGTATACCTGTAACCAGAACTCTATAAACTAATTTAATTTAGAGATTTTATATCTCGGCTAACCCGTAACCAAAAACTCAGTGGTTTTTATACCTTGGCTAACCCATAGCCAAACTTTATTTTTGCATAGGTCTTATTCCTCACCAAATCAGGCTTTATCATTACGCCCTACAACTACATACTCAAACTAAAATTCTCTTGCTAAAATCAAACTTTAAGCTTTTTAACTAAACTAAAACTTCGCTAAATCACTAACGCTAATAAAAACTAAAACTAAAATTCGTCAAAAACTATAAACTTAAAAAAAAACTTCAATTCGCTAAAAAAAAACTATCAACTCTAAACTAAAAAAACTAAAATGTTTATTTCGGATTTTTTAAATTTCTAAAAAAATTTTTTTTTTTTTTTTTTATATATTTTTCATTACTACTCAACCTCATATCAGGATTTCGGGTATAGCAGATAAGTATTTTGATCTTTTTGTACTTCTTTTTTGTTATATCGTTTCTACTAATTTATTATTTTCTAGACCTTTTTTTTGATTCAGCAGATTCTTTCAGCACTTCACAGGAATTGGATCACCTTCTAGGTTTGTTCCAGAACTGTACTAAGTCAGGTAAGTAGATGGTCTTTTTGTCTTGTTTTTGTGATATCACCCACGTGATCGTCTCATTTATTTAGTCGTTAGTTGATCATCTATTTTTTATTTTATTTATTTTTTTTTTATACTTAGCTTTTGTCCTTTCAACATTTTTCTTCTGGCTGATAGTATAATGTTTTCCCATTCTTCCAGATCAGGTAAGCATTTTTACTTTCGTGTCTCTTTTTTTTCTCCTTTTCTTTCTTTATTTATCGATCTTTTTTCTTATAGGTTCCAACTTTCAAATTGTCAGGCTATCGAGAGCTTTCACCTGGAGCATTTTCTTGGATCTTGGTGAGAATCTTGGCGAGAGATATTTTCTTTTTCTTGCAGCTTCTTGGATCAAGACAGACTTCCAAGGCTAGTTGGTTAGTATTATAGAAGAGGCTCTTCTGAAAACTTGAAAGGGGCGAGTTGCTCGAAAGATGGAGTATGAGATTTCAGCTTGCATAGGACTTGGGTATGGGATTTCAGTTTGTATGAGACTTTGGTATGGGATTTTGGCTTGAATTAGGAGCCTAGGACTTGGATTATTACCTTAAGATAAGTAACATACTTTTTTTTTTTTTCTATTTTTGTTTTTGGTCTTGGGTGGGTTATTAATTATTCTTTTTTTTTCAGGTTTTTTAATATCAGAATCAGGATTTAAGTGAGGCTGAGTTTCCTAGAGAATGGAATATGGAACTTCTGGGCATGTAATAATTCGAATAGCCGGTTTTTGAGATGATAAACTTTTAAATAAGTGGACCTTTTTTCTTCTTTTTTTTTTTTTTTTTTTTATTGTTTTT